CTACGTCGGCCAACCTTCCTTATCGCCGGAACTAACTAGAATTTGACGGTCAGAAAATTGATCGGCGAAGATAATTGTGTATGCTACCTTTGTGAGCTAATGTAGGTCAGTGAAGACGCTGCGAGATGTCTTAGTGCACACTTCCCGGTTTACCTGGCTGTACTGTTAATGGTGTACTTCGTGCTACTGGACGCTCACCGGTTCACCTTTAGGAATTTACGTAGTCCACCCAATACATTAATTTAAAAAAATGTGTTTCAAGGTGACAGTGGTTTACGCTGCGGACCAGAGTGCGTGCGGGAAAAGCGTATTCCTAAGAAACCGTGTTGGAATTTTAGATTCTTCATTGCATTATGAATCCGGGCGCCACGCCAGTTGCCTTACGTGCAAGCAACACCGCATACTTTCACAATATTTCTCGGATCCTCAACTCCACTAGCCATTTAGTGCTAAATCGTATGTGATCTTTCTTTTCTGTTTCATTATAGTTCCCTGGCGTCCTTTCCTACTGCATGAGCAAAGCGGCCATTGAGCAGTTCACAAAGTGTGCTGCCCTTGGTAGGTCCGGTCAAATCGCTATCCCAAACTAGGATTCGATGAACTCCTGCTTACTCATACTTTTTATTCCTTGTCCTAGAGCTCGCACCGAAGGGAATACGCGTCAACTGTATAGCGTAAGTTATAAAGAAAGATTTGCGTTTTTGAAATGACACACGCATGACTACTGTTGAAAGCAAGTAACACTTATTTTGTCTAGACCAGGAGTTATTGTCACTGAACTCCACCGAAACGCCGGAATGTCTGAAGAGGAATATGCCAAATTCTTGGATCGTGCCAAAAACAATAGTCCCCTTGGGCACACCGGTGACTCAGAAGATGTAGCCAACTCAATCGCGTTTTTGGCCAGCGACGCTTCTTCCTTCACCACCGGAAACACAATCTTTGTTGACGGTGGATGGTCACGAGTTTGCCCTCGATGAGCTTCATCGCACCGAAATTTTAGTCAGGTTTAAAGCGCCACCATCCTTGATTCTTGTAGAAAATTTAGTAAATATAATTCTGTTATATATTTTCTTCTTTAAAAATGGGTGCAACAGTACACGAAAATGCAGACATGGCTTAACATTGCAAAACAAAAATCGTCAAAATACTTGTCTCGAGAATATCCGTCGCTTCTATTTAATGTATTGAGCTTCATGTTCGGCTAGGATTTTAGCTGACTGTTTCGCGTTCAAGAAGAGTCCTGCAACTTCGTTAATGTGTTCTGGCCCGATTTCCTCACTTTCAGACAACTGGGCCAGGCGGGAAGCGGGGGTCAAGAGCTGGATAACAAACCTGTTTAAAAGGGCATGGAAGGGCTCATTATTCGGGGATAGGGTTAAGAGAACAGGTATCAGAGGAAGACGCAGGGAACTTGCGAATGAAGTGAGTAATGGTTACCGGTTAGTAATTCCTGAAAAGGGTAATGTGGATTAAGCAGGTACCACAATTTGGTTGACGGAATCTGTTGGGAGGAACCCTACTTGACGTCTCGAAATCCAGGCATCATTTAACAGGCAGTGATCACATAATCTATTCGGTGGCGGTGAACAGCGGCCAGACTTACCCTTGTACCGCCTCACCCGAGATCCGCCATCTTCCTCTTCTAAAGCATTGTGTAGAATAAGAACCAGCACATTCATGACAGGTGGTGGCGGGCCACTTAACCGCCTACACCTGTTTCCAGCCTAAGCTTTGTGTAAATCTGCCTTAACCATACTTCACTCGAGAGTCTCCATTGCGCCCTATCAGGGTCGGTGGTGCCAGTCTTCTGCGACGGACGAACGGTCTGTCAACTAACAAGCCCACGCCGTGTGTTCTCTATTTCTGTCTGTAGTGGTAAGTTTGGATATGTACTGCTTATTCCTGATTGCTAGGCTACTGACACAGTTATAATATATATCAATGTTAATTGATTATGGAGCAGATTGCTCTCTTATTAGACAGAAGATGTCCCCTAAAACCTTAGGATAGATTTAGATGCTGCAATAGGTGAAGGGTTAGTTTGAGAGCGGAAACCAAGCAAAGCCTTGATGTGCTGCGGACCTCAAACATGTACTTACTCGGAATAGCAAACCTAGATTCACACTCCTTACTGGGATCGAGGGGATATGAGTAAAGTCCAAGTTATAGATAGATACTGTAGTAGGCCTATAAGTAGTCTACAGACGGCAAACCTTACGACATGAAGGCATGGTAGGACTTGTGCTATTATTTAATAACGCTTTATTTAATCTATAAGTTAATTACTTTACCTCATACCAATTGGAAGTGCATACTGGTATCGACTTCTTAAAGAGCATACACAGGCCGTATTATAGTTTACTGGCCTTAGTAAGCATTATTACTAGAAGTAGCACTTTAGCGTAGGCACGTACTTCTAGCAGCAGTATCGTAGTCTAAACGTAGTAGAAACGGACAGTCTGATGGACAGAGTTGAGAGGTGGAAACCAAGGCAAGCACTGCTGTGCTCAGGGTTCCGAATATGTACTCACTCGGAATGGTTCAAACCCAGATTCACACTCCTTGTTGAGATCAAGGGAGTATGAGCCCCGGCGTTAGTTTTAATCAGCGTCACCTCTGACGGATGACAGCGTCAGCGTTAGTACCAGTATTACTAACGCGCAGCTACATTGCTAGATAGTAATATTATAAGTAGCCGTATCCGTCTAGGCCTTATTGAGCCCGTCTGTGACATATACTGAAGGTGAATGTGGGCAGATAGTGCATAGTACCCGCACAAAGTCTACTGTCACTTAACACTAAGTAAGACGATTTTTCTGTCTTGCATTGGAGAAGGCGGCCAGCGCCGGATCTAATCTGGTCCTTTTGACCCGTAGTGAAGGTCAAGAGTGCGGTTGGCGCTAACTACGTACGCGACCACTTTAATCTACCCACTGTAGCCGTCACTGTATCAACCTATTGGTGTATGTGGTGGACTTCATCGGAATCGATGGCCGAACTATCAGATATGCACCTGGAACGTCAGACAGGTGGGACTCCTGTTCAGATAAGCATGTCAGTGAGGCCGAAGCCTAATAAGGGCGCTAATCCCGCGGGACACCAATTACTGCGCTGGAAAAAAAATGTTTGAGACGAAAACAAACAAAACTCCCACCAGTGTCATTATAATAACTTGTGGACTAGGGGGAGGGGGGAACGACTCACCTCAGGGTGGATTCAGTGGCTATACTTGAAAGTCGACTGAAGGCCTCCTCAGATATTTTTAGTCCTTCCGTCTCCGCTCGAATGCGGA